GCACGTGACGTTTGGATGCGAGTAGTACTTTTGCAGCTTTCTCTTTTGGCTGGCCGTCGGCTGCTGGTACGTGGCGCTGCTGTCGTTTTCGCCCGCTGTCGGCGCCGTCTCGCGCGAGGAAATTGCAACGGTTCAGTACAACATCCCTCATCCCAATCTCAATGGCATGCACTAGTTTGCCAACGTCTTTAGCAGCGAGCTCCTCACGCTCGGCCCGAAAGCACTCATGTACTGCGTCTTCTTGATCGCGACCTCGGCCGGCCTCCTCGTTTCATTTCTCGCGGGCTGGCATTTCTACCTTGTTCTCACCGCCCAAGTACGTCGTCGTGTCGCACGTGCCAATATGGTACACCCTCTCTTTTCGACTCGACGCTTGTACGCAAGGGGAGATGCCAGAGCTATCGAAATCTCTACCGAATCGGCGGGTCGCGGCACCCGAAGCTGACCCCGACACTGGCCCTAATATATCATGGCCACCGGACACGCTGCGGCTGGTCTCGCTCCCGTCGGTATCTCGCGCCACGACGCTACCCGACGAAGCGCTACTGGTCACGTGCCGCGCGTGGATGACGGTCTCCTCACGACACGGGCGATTACAGCCAAGCTACGATGCCTCCGCGTTCCCGGTGGCAGGCATCGGTCCATGGTTCGGCAGTAGCTCGCGCTGCATTGCGACACGTACAGTGTATTTGGTCCGATCGCACCCGCGGCTCCGACCACGGCGCAATCGCACATGAGTCGCGACGGCAGCCAGCGGGCAGGAACGCGACGTAGCTCGGCACGCTCCGTCGGGCTCGATGCGTACCCCTCGACGCCGGCGTGTCTCTTTTGACGCATCAGCAGCCAAGCAAACCCGCGGCGCGCCGTTCCCGTCGCACAAAACGAAGCGGTCGGCGGCTCGTAGGTGGTGGTCCCTGCGGCGTGGAGACCGTGCCGCACGTGTAGCGGCTTCGCCACTGAGGTCACCAACAGATCGACATGGCCCCGGAGAAGAATTGTTGTGCACACCGTCTCAGTCCTGTCCTCGCCGGGCTTGCTCATCGTGATCGGTATCGATTGCGTCCCGTGGCTCGGCGCGGAGACGGACAGCGAGTCTCGCGCCACGACGCATTGGTCGAACTTGTACGTCGTGCACACGGCACGGACCAGATCAAGGGCTTCAGCGCCCGATGTGGCACCCTACGCGTGGATTCGGCGACTCGGATCGGCCGATTTGGCTGCACGCGGCCGAGGCACGCGCCGTACGGTCGGGCCGTTGTCGCTTTTAACGTTGCCGTGGATGGTATCTCGTTTTGTGAAGCGATTCGGGCCGCTTGGTGTCGTGTGGATACCCACTGGGCCAACAAGCACCTCGCACTGTCTACTCGAGCTTCGCCACCAGCTCTCTGCGTTAGGGTCTCTGTGCTCTGTCTGGCGGTTGTCAGCGATCAAGCGCGCGTGCTGTCTGGGCCAGGCGTTGAACCGCTTATCTTGTCTCGGGCTCGGCCACGGCGCATGCTGCCTTCAACAGGCCTCCCGGCCCAGTACACGGACAGCCTCAATCTTGCGCGAGGACTCGGCTACGGCAAGGGCGCCTCTGAGGGTAATGTACCCGGCGGCACGGCTACCGCAGGGTAGTTTGCGTCGCGTGTGCTCGCAGCCGTTGACCCCAACAAGCTCAACAAGCCGGCAATTTGACCAGCTAGCGCGACGCTGGTTGCATCTCGTGTGAGTCCATCATGGGCTCACATCGTCTCGATCGAGCGGCGCAACAACGTCGTGGTGGCTTTCGTGTGGAGTCCTGCATGGGCTCTACCTCCCACCGTCTCGATCGGGCGCTTCGACTACCGCAAGGTGGTTACGCCGAGGGTGCTCGCGGCCGTTGCCGCCGACAACATGCAGCATGCCTCCACGGCAGTAGGCGACGAGCCGCCTCCAGGTTGAGCCGCAGAAGCACGCGCTTAAGGTCCCCAGCAGCATCAGCACCAAGGAAGAGACAACATTGTACCGCGAGTGACCACTCAAGGCGACCCGGAGCCACATCGGAGTAGCGCGCTTCGGTGGCCAGCGACTTCGAGCAGAAACCAAGCACCCGCATCAGCGACACCACTCCAGCATGGGCGACCCGCCATCGCCGGGCTACGTTTAAAGAAGCTCCAGTTCAAGAAGCCCCCGCAAGTACGATCGGCATGACCTGGCATCTGCCTCGGCGATCTTTGCTC